GGAGAAGAGAAGTGAGTACAGGACCAAACCTTGGTGAAATCGTGTTAAATAGCTGAGGAGAGAAGATCAGCTTGCCAAAGAGATTGAAAAGAAACAAAGAAGTAGTGAGGTACACAGAAATCACAAGAAAAGGATGTTTTGAGATGGAGGAAGTGGTCCATTGAGTCAGAGAGTGACAAGATCTATTTCATGATGCAATGTAGAAAAGTAACCAGACAGGTGTGGGTGTATAGGTGTTGGCACCATTTCTACAAGTCTTTCATTACACTTTGTCCTTTAAATGTAATAGTTTGATATATAGTTCTCATGTTCCCATTACCCAAAAGTGGGTTTCTTATGTTTATAGACCATGTCTTAACTCTAATATCACTAGTTCTTGTGTCTTATCTACCCTGTAAAAAGTGTCCAGAAAATACCTTTGTGACAATCCTTCCTTCTCAAACCTGCTTCATCTGTGTAGATCATGGGGCTTACGGGAGTGTCAAGGAGGAAGAGAGGATTCTCCTTGAGGCAAGGGGACAGCCATGCATGTGGTGTGGTCCAGAGGACCTGAGGTGGATCCCTAACTCACTCTGGCCCACCGTCTACACACTCTCAAAGATGAGGACTTGGGATTTTATTGGTACTGGTCCATCTCTGGCAGGACTATTGGGTGAAGGATGTGTATGCTGAGAGCTGTGTGGGGTTATGTTGGTCATGTTGCACTCTGTGTGATGGGGATAGTGGTTGGGAACAAAAAGCGTGGGAAGTAGAGATGGGAGAGTATATCAGTGCATGAATGAAAAATTAAGGGAGGACAGGAGGGAGACAGGGAGACAAACAGAGTGAGAGGAAAGTGAATGCACGAGTGTGAGGAAAGGAGCAGGAGACGGAAAGACAGAGAAAGTAAAGAATGAAGAAAGGATGGAGAGAAGGGGGAGAAAGGAGACCGAGAGAAATTACACACAAACACAGACTGGCTGGAGCAGGAAGGAGACAGGAGGACAAAGCTAGAGGAGGACCAAACCTTCCCGGTGTCCTGACTCCTCCTAGGTCCTGAGGTGGTGCCTTATGAGCCTCTAGCACTTCCTCATCCTCAGTCCCTCTTTTGTCTATATGTCTCTCTGGGAGGGTGTCTGCTCCAGCCTGAGAGGACAGGTGCCATCTGTTATCTCCTATTCTGAGGGGCAGCACAGAGTTCTGGGGGCCTAAGCCAGAGACCAGTTTCTTCACAACACAAGGCCCAGCCTGTACCTGGGGATACTCAGGGGCACCACAGCAAGTGTTTCTCTTAAGGTTCAGAATATGTCTAGGGAATTAGGATGTTTACAACACGTCCTGATGATGAGAAATACCTCAAGGATCCTTGTGGAAGGGCTGGGGAAGCTGGTCACCATGCACACAGTCTGGGAGGTTGCCAAGGGTCTGTGCCCACTCCCCACGTAGCTGGGCAGAACACTCAGGAAGATGATGTCCATGTGTGTAGACAGGGCCTCCTAGGCTGAGAAGTATCTGCACTCAGGCATTGCCAAGCATGGCCTCTAGAATCCAGACCCTGATTTCCCCAAAATACCTGTCAAGACCATCTTAGAGGGAGAAACGTTTGAGTCACACAATTTCAGATGTTCAGTCCATGCTCAGCCAACTTCTTTTCTCTGGGCCTGAGATAAGGCAGAACACCATGGCAGAAATGTGTGGCAGAGGAATGCTGCTCAGATCACAACAGGAAGGAGAGTACAAGAAGAGTGAGTGAGTAAGAAGGAAGCCAGGGACAAAATGAAATCCCCAAAGGCACACCTCCAATGAGGCCAGCTGCAGACAATTTAGAAATATCATGTCTCCAAATAATTAATTAAAAGGGCCAGGGATATAGATCATTGGTAAAGTGTCCCAGGTTCAATTCTCAGTTCCAAAAAAGTAAAAAATTGTGGTGAGCAGGTTGGTACATGCATGTAACCCCAGCTACTGTGGAGACAGAAGCAGGAGTATTTCAAGTTTAAGGCCAGGCCTGGAAATTTTGCAAGATACTGTCTCAAAAAAGAAAGAAAGAAAGGATATGCATCTCAGTGGAAAGATCCAGTGAATTTAACCCCCTAGTACCATTTTAAAAATTAATTAAAAATAAAATTAATTAATTAAAAATAAAAAAGAATATATCTCGGGGCTGGGGTTATGGCTCAGTGGTAGAGCACTTGCCTAGCATGTGTGAGGCCCTGGGTTCAATCCTCAGCACCACAAATAAATGAATAAAATAAAGGTCCATCAACATCTAAAAAACAATATTTAAAAAAAATATGTCTCCTTCCCCCCTCCCAAAAAAAGAACAAGAACAACATGAATAACAACAGCTAAAGCTCCCCAAAACAGAAAATAAAAGACAATAACAACAATGAAAAAAGTCCCATGGAGACTCTCTTCATTTGAATATAGAGTGACCAGGGAATCCAGCAAAAAGGATATGCCAAAGGATCACTTGAGAAATGAAACACCAGGTATCCAACAACTTTCCATTAACCTGGCTAAACTAAACAAATTGCATTTGAATAGGAACAAATTTAGGCCTCCTAAAAATATGTGCAAAATAAATATATATAAATATCATTAATGTGACCTGTTTTCAAATGGGGGAAAGAGAAAGATGACATTGCATTCACTGAAATTTTGGGGGTTTTGTTTTGGTTGTTTGTTTTGATACTGGGAATTGAACCCAGGGGCCCTTAACCACTGAGCCACATCCCGAGCCCTGAGTGAGAGGGACCTGAGACGAGGTGAAAGCAAGGTACACACACTTAGGAGTTGGGAACTCCATTGTGCAGGTGCTGGGGGTGGTGAGGAAGTCTGGACTGCCAATTTGTGCTGCTCTGCCTGAGGCTATGAGATGAAAGGCCTTCATCTTCCCCTTCAGGGTCCCCATGGGCTCTGTTATGAAGCATGAAGGGCCCAAGCCACAGGTGCAGGTAAGACAGGAGCTCTTCTCTTGATGCAGTCCTTCCCAGGAACTGAGAGGGAGCAGTGTCACATGAGTTGCTTGGGGCCTCACTAAATTGTTGAGACTAGTTTTGAACTCGTAATCCTCCTGCCTCAGCCTCCCAAGCCACTGGGATTACAAGCATGTGCCACCACACCTGGCTCACTCATTGAAATTTGATAGAAAAATGATATTTCCTGAAGGAACTAGAACTTAATGTGATCAGTTGAATCAATCTGCTGATTCATTAGTCAAGGTCTCTCTACATCATCTCATCCCAGGAGGAGTCCTATTTGAACACAACCAAAACTAGGTTGCTTTTTTAAAAAGTATTCCAAAAAATGAGATTCCAGCTGGGGTTGTGGCTCAGCAGTAGAGCACTCACTTAGCACATGCAAGGTGCTGGGTTCAATCTTCAGCACCACATAAAAATAAATAAAATAAAGGTAC